TACAATGGAACAATGTAACACAACATAGTATGACATTCCATTACAAGGTAATCCAATGTGAGAATATAACATAGAACACTACAACATATCACATAATACAAGTTAATACAATATCTTGAAATATTGAGTATAACGTGATAGGGTATGATATAATGTGGTATGATATGATGCGACATAAGATGATAGAACCTTATCCGATATAACAACATAAAATCTAACGTCATGTAGTATACAAAAGATACTGGCAAAATATTCTACAGTATACTAAAAAATGATACCCATCGATACGACTCGGTATAACTTAAAATAACATGATATAGTACAATATAACTCCCTGTAAAAATGAGACACTATAATATAATATGAAAACGGTAATGAAATATAACGCAATACATTATAACTTACTCTAAAATAAAATAACATAAAAAACGTAACATAACATAATGTGACACATTAAAACATAATATAATGCTACATGATGAAATATAAACCATACTGATACAACGGAATAATGTAACACAATAAAATATAACATTCTATTACAAGGTAATGGAATGTGAAAATATAACATAGAGCAAAACAATATATCATATAACACAAGTTAATACAATATCTTGAAGTATTGCGTATATCATGATAGGGTATGATATAACATGATATGATATCATGCGACATAATATGATAGAACTTTATCTGATATAACAACATAAAATCTAACATCATGTAGTATACAAAAGATACTGGCAAAATATTCTACAGTATACTAAAGGATGTTACACTTCGATACGACTCGATATACTTAAAATAACATGATATAGTACAACATCACGCCCTATGACATAGTATAAAACAAACAATGACGCACCCCCTTTTGCAAATAGAATGCCTTTGTGATGAGCTTTGAAAAGCTCTAAAACAGCTTTGTGTTTGATGCAAGTCTTGTTCATGATGCGATGTCCTTGAAAACAAGCCTGCGCGGCTTAAAAAGAAAGCGGCGGGGTTGGGGGGGCGCAGCCCCCCATTTGCAAACACAACGTCTTTATGGCGGGTTCTGAGAGGGTCCATATGGGTTCTGTCTTTACTAGCAAGATGATACCTGAAGCGATATAAAACGGGCACGCACCTCCCCAATTGGAAACAGAATGCTTGTATGATGAGTTTTGGAAAGCTCTAAAACATTTTTTGTGATTGGTGCAAGTCTTGTTCATGGCGTGCTGTTCTTGAAAAACAAGCCTGCGCGGCTTAAAACGAAAACGGAGGGGGTTGAGGGGGGCGCAGCCCCCCAATTGCAAACACAACGTCTTTATGATGGGTTCTGAAAAGGTCCATATGGGTTCTGTCTTTGCTGGCAGGATGATGCTCGAAGCGACCTTGCTCAGTTTTAAAAATGTGACTATAAATACAGTTTAACATGATACAACATAATGTAGTATAACATAATATATTATAATCCGCCGAGGCACAGGCTTGGGGATTACCTCAAATACCCTCCACCTAATCCTTTTCCCTGCAGTGTGAAAGTTTGGATGCCCCCCCCTTCCCTTCATTTTACCTGATTTGCAGGTCCTCCCCCCCCTCCCCTCCCCCCCCTCCCCCCCTCCCCCCCCCCTCCCCCCCTCCCCCCCTCCCCCTATGCAGGGCGCTGAGGGCACGGGAAGGCGCTGAGGGCGCAGAGGAGGGCGCGGAGGCGCTGACGGGGCGCTGAGGGCGCGGAGGGCGCTAAAAAAAAAAACAAAAAAAAATAACAAATACGCCTCCAAAATAATACCATCCTTGAAACGGCCGGTCTGGCTTGAAACCTGGGGAGCCTCTGACCCAGGCTGACCTAGAGGGCCGCAAGCAGCATTCAAGGCATCGTCAGACCGTCGTCCTTCGAGTTCGTTTCTGTAGCAATATGCTTCAGCCAACGGCGAGCCTGCACAAACTGGCGGAGAAAAGGTTGAAGTTCTGGCGTTGAGGCGAGAGTCTGACACGAAACTCCGTTACACACGGCAGACACAAGCAAACAGACCACTCTCGCACCTCCTGGATTTGCCGAGGCTTCAGGGAATCCGGCGGGGCAATGACAGCACCTGTCCACGAGGAGTTTTCTGAACTCTGTTTGATGGAGAGGGGGTAGGAGTTGTCCATTCAATTCCTATTCTAAGCGACTGGAGGGTACCACTGCTTCCGTGATCCGTGGATTTCACCAAACGCCATGTCATTGAACGCCGAACGCAACTTAGCTTTTACATCGAGGACAGATGCCTTTGCTGACGACGGATGTCGACAAGAAGCTGTCGGATGGGTGCAGGAGAGGTGCCTGGCAAGTCTGGCTGGTGATGCGGAATCGCAGCAATCCCGCAGCCGGTTGGAAACAGACTGCTTATCTTGATCTCTTGCAGACCACCGCTGAGCCTCCGCCTCTTCGGTGAGGCGTTTCGCTGGCCATCGTGCCTCCAAAGAGCTCAGGGAATCGCTGCACAAAGCCTTCTCTTGGGGAAGGGCTGCGCTGCGCTGCCTCTGTGGAGAAGCGGCCACCGCACTGGGAGCGGCCTTTGGCTCCTGCCGGCAGCCAGCCCAGCCCTCTCTGGCAAGGGCTTGTAGGATGGTCAGAGTCAAGGTCTGTCTCTCACCAGCCATCGAAAGACTTCCATCCTCAAGCACCTGTTTCTGCAGCTTGCCTGTCGAAGAAGTGCATTTGCGCGGGCCTGTCCTGGAATCACAAGCAGCAGAACAGCAGGACCCCGTGCTTGTGCACATGATTCGGTGTCGATTGGAGCAGAGGGCGGAGGGAGCTGCACTGCAGATGCCTCCATGTCGGCAAGGCGGAGGCACGGCACCAGCGTCCAGGAATCTGGTCAGGGGCACAGCCAGATCACCGGGAGGACCGTGATAGTCTCATGAGCCCGCCTGTTCCTGAAATCGAGCCCGACCTGGAGCCAAGGAAGGGATAGTAACAAGAGCGAAAAGCGATGTACAACGCTGAAGAGCAGTCGTCGTGTCGTCAGAGCTTCTCGAAACTGCAGGCACAAACATCCTTGCAGTGCCACGCACAGGAGTCTCGTCCAGAACAGTCCCACAATTTTCACGCATCCATGCCAAACGGAGACTGGGCAACGTTCCCCTTTGTTTCCTGCCGAAACACCAGGCCTCGCTGGACGGGCAGTTCCAAAGATGCCGCTTCTCCTCGCAGCTGAGCCTCCAAAACGGGGAGCAGTACTGAGCGACGGCTTCACTTTGCTACGACAGCTTGCAAAGCTGCAATATCTGACACATGCGCACATGCAAGGAAGTCATGATGCGATCCAGTGGAACCTATATAATCATATTGGGCCTCGATAGCTTGCAATGCATGCTCGGTCTCCAGCAGCTGGTGGTCCAAATCATCCAGCGCATCGACCATTATGAATTTCGAATTAAGGAACTGTGGGTTGGCAGTCGCTTTCACGGATTCAAGCTTGGGAAATGTGGACAGGCTACAGAGGGGCGGCCGTAAAGTCGGACTCACGCAAATTTAGGAAAGCGCCTACTTGTCGTTCAGCTTCGACAATGGTCCATGGTGCCGCTATGCTCCAGCACGCAGCATGTCGTGCATAAGCCAGGAGGATCCGGAAGTATGCCGCGCGCTTCCAACACACACACACACACACACAAACTTCTTCGAAGATGCTTTTTTTCTGACACGTCGCGGACGGGGACCAGTCCTGAACCCTGAGGTCGGAGGTCGGGAATGTTGGCTCGTAATTGTCAACGTGGTGCGATGACGGGCCGGGCAGGGTTCAGGCTGTCCGAGGTCTCCTCTTCGCGAAGAGGTAATCTTCAATTAAGACGAAGTCTAAGTCTGGAAGCTCATCCAGCATCTTCAGGCACTCTTTCGCGCCTGAGTAGGGCTTTTGCTGGCCACGCAGATGTGCAGCCCACTCTCAAGCAGGGGGTACTGCTTCAGTAATCCCGCCTGATACGGAGTCCCGAAAAGGTTGGGGCCCGTGGCACTGGAAAAGCTCGGTTGTTCAAGCCCCGACCCCCCAAAAACCTGCCGCAAAGCCCTCTGTGTCAAGGCTCGGTTCACGATGGGTTTGCCCTTGGAGTTGAAGCTCGTGTTGATCAGAGCCGCTAGGCCGGTCAGACGACCCACCGCCATCCTTGGACTTGTCTACGAAGAAAGGGTTTCGGGTTTCGGTTTAGTGACAATGACTGGGATGGTGGGGAGTTCAGGATATGATAAGATCAGTGTTTTGAGTTTCCAAGGCTTCTGCGTTGAGGGCTCCCGGCGTCAAACAAGGTCGGACCGGCACTCTACGACAATCAAGACTGACTGCGGGATGTTGCGAAACTGCCACATCACGGTGGAAGAACGGTTCTCGACGCCGTTCTTGCGCAAGCACCGTCAGATCACAGCATAGGCATTCACACAACTGCCGGAATCATGTCCAGAGTCTATAGAATCTACAACGAGCCTACTAGATCAACGAAAAGGTCTTCCTATCTGTCGAGCATCAGAAGGGCGTGAATCCAGGGTTCGTCACCTTCGCTCACCTGGGATGCGAGAGCAATCCTTCGCACAGTGCAAACGAACGAAGGGTGCGGCTGACACTAACGCCTCACCTTGCCTGGATTTCGCGGCGACACATGCAGTCGAGGAACAGATTGGTGCCTTCGCAGCTACGGCAGGGCTAAACTGGGTCCCTACGGCGAAGAATCTGGTTTTCCGGACAACTTCAAGATCGCATCCCGGCCACGTGCTCGATCTGATTTAGAACGACAGGTAGCAACCTACCGCAGAACAGGACCACTCTCTGTTCAAGCAAAGGGGTCTCCTCACGGAATCCTGTCTCAGTTCGGCATTGGGCAGGTTGGCCAATCCCAAAGAGCCGAACACCACTCCCGCGAGATGCAGCGACTCTCTTCTGGGGTGCAGATTGGTCGGGCAACTCAACTGCGAGACTCAGACTCGTCAAGGCGCGAAAGGAGCACTTCCCTTCCTTCCTTTGCTTCAGATGGCTTCCACCACTATGCCACTATCCTGCTTTGCTGAGCAGGTGGGGATCCTGCCTGGCGGTGCCATCCAAATGTGCCATGGCGGGAAATTGCTTGCGTATCTCAGGCAGAACTTGAGGCGCCATAGTCCTAAGATGCGGACTTGAAGTCAAACGGAAGCTTCCGCGTTGCTCGAGAGATGCATCCAAGCTGCATGTATGGCGAGTGGACTGCTCGACCAAACACCTGCACCATGGCCTGTGGCAGAGACAGGGTCATGAGAGGGATTGATGCGTGCTTCCCGAAGGCAGGAACCCTTGTAAAACAGTACGACATGGACTACTTGTTGCTCTCGAAATCCTTGAATCGGAGCAGTACTTGTGAGTAACGATTTGGAGTGTTGTTCTGAATCTCGCAAGCTAAGGGGTGGACGCATTGGTCCTGCTCCAGAAACGGGCACGGACTTGGTTAAGGGATTCGAGCTGGAGCACGACTCTCGGCACCATGCGGTCAGAGATGTGCTGGATCCGTGCTTGCATGTTCGGGACACGGCTGGGCTTGTCTAGGGGATGGGGATGGGTGTCTTTGTAAACACAAGATGGGTAAGCTAATGTCACAATAAATATAGGCAACAGAGCTTTGTACTGCAAGCTTTGATCAGCAGAGGTGCCCTGAAGCCTAGTTCATTGCAAAATCCTCAATGCTGATTATAACCCAGACCCATGGACAGGGCCTCAACTCTAAACCACCTCTTGTGCGTTTTGGGGTGCCGGGTTGGGAAGTTTTCGCATGAAATCGGCCTCGTCGGCGACCATGGGTGCAACGGGCCGATACCAGGCTCCTCGGCCAGAGTTGCAGTATAGTGTTACAGTGCACAGGTCAGCCGGGCCAATAGCCCTTTCGCTGCTGCCAAAACTCTGGCTTTGAGCCGGTTCATCCGGTCGCGCATCTCCTGCCAAGACTGCCTCCGCCCTTCTCCCCATCGAGTGTGCATGAAACTAAGCCTGAATGGCGTCCTGCCGTTTCCCGGGCACTGTCTTAAACTTTGATGCGCCGCAACTCTGGATTCCCTCTGCCTGGCTCTTCCGTCCTCGGAATCAGGCACTGCCAGCAGCGACCGGTGGCCCAAAGCCCGCGGACCAAACTCCTCGGGTCTGTCCCGGAAGATAAGATGCACCTGCCACAAATTGTGACACATGGTCCTGTCGGCCGCGGACCACTGCGATGATGGGTTTGTCAGCAGTCCGGTTGGGATACCTGGAGAAATCGCGGTGTTTCCCTGATATGGTTAGAATCTGAAAACTCCTTCGCGAAGCACAACACTCTCAGGAATAGGAACATGCTAACGCTGGTTCAGACATCGGAGATTCTCAGCTGTTAGCCCGGACATGCGCCCGTGCGGGGTTCGCAAGAAGCCGAAGACTAGCGACCCTTGCAATGCGACCCTCCGTTGAAAGCCAGTGGCCTCCGCCACGCAGGGCCGCCTGAGAGTAGCTCCGCGAGGTAGTCGATGCCACCCCGCTTTGAGAGGCGCCTCCGTCGAAAGTTTGCTAAATTCCAGTCTTGGCTCTCGCAATCGCTCGAGCTATCGAGCCATGGCGGATGCATGGTCTTGGGGGAGCCACTTGCTTCAACTTATCACCAAGTTTGCATTCGCAGTTAAGGCAGCTTCGACCAAACCCTGGACACCAAACAAAGACACTGCTCCTGTCAGCTGTCGAACTTGACTCGCAAAAGAACCGAAAACCTTCCCAACATCCCCAACATCTTCTCGGAGTGGTGAACATGTTGGGCACCGTGGTACATGGTGTGAGTTCCGTCCACCACGGCGGCACATTTGCGGAACAAAAACTTCTGCCCCTGCTGCACCGGGAAGAAACTGAGTTGATGTACCCAGGCGCACAAAGGAGGAGGAGGAGGAGGAGGGGACCAAAGAGCAAAGAGACAAGGTTGACAGGTCGCTCTTCTGCGCAGCGGAACCACCATACTGGTTTGAAATACTCATTCTGCTCCTTCAACTAACTGTTTAAGTCATACCCCGATCCCCACCCAACGCTCATCCAATCCTCGATAACTAAACTCTAAACATCACCCTCAGGTCGAGTGCTGAAATTCAGCATCATGTCATAGCAACGTATCACTAGACTCACTAGACCCCGAAAGAGCTTGCTCGTGATAAAATGAAACTCTTGCGAGTTGCTTTCGACCTCCAGCTTGCCCTGCATGATGCTACTCGCAAGTCACACTTATGGGAGTTGCTTTTCAACATGCATCTACTTACAAGCCGCAGAGCTGGCGCACTGCATGCCACACACGCAGAGTTCACTCGTGGGCCGAATGGGTCAAAAGCAACTCCGAAGCCGAGAGTGAACGGCCTGTGAGACTGTGAAACAGCTGGAATGCCAGCCAGCACGAGCAGGCTGGAGAACCGTGGAACTTTGGAAAGGAGGTTTGGCAGAAGGAACACTGCAATCTCCAGCAGCATCTGTGAAGACTTGCTCGGAGCTTTATAGAAGTGTTCTGGGACAGAAGCAAAGCCAACCGGAGCCATCGCGAGCCAATGCCGCGGAACGAGGCATCCCAGGACCATCAGGGTATGTCAACCAAGCACAGCTCCGCGCCCTTGGCCTCTGCCGCACGCGAGCGGCAGATAGGGCAATTATTAGACGCTCGCATCAGAAACCAGTTCATGATGCACTTCTCGTGAAAAACATGTCCACATGGCAGGCGGGCCACGACATCTTCTGCGGAGAAGTCCTCCAGGCAACATGAACATGTGCTCTCGGCAATACAAGGCTTCGGTTTCACCGAGATCTTTCCCAGAACCGTCTTTTTTGGACCGCTTGGAGCGGTCTGAAGCTTTATAAGCTGGAAGTCTTGACCTTGGTCTTGGCCGTCCATAGAACTGAAAAGAACGGAAGACCAGACTTGCTGCCTCTCTGCCTCGGGCTCCACCCGCGAGCCGCTCCGAGCCAAGCAGCAGAGGGGCACAAGAAATGCACAGCAACAAAAGCAAGTAATGGACCCCATACCAACAAGCACTTCCTTCCAATACAATGTGTCAGGATAGATCGCGCCGACGATCGGGGTGACAATGAGCAACAGGAACCAGCCGCAAAGAAAGTACAGCACTCGTCCGAAAACCTCGTTGTCGATCTGAGTCTCCGCCATTGCACGGAATTCTATCTACAGTTCTGAGTCTCTGTATCGTGCGAACTGTAGCTGCTGGCAAACCTCCCAATCATGGGACCTATGCTACATGATCAAAACCCATGACAAGCCACAGAAAAGAGGCGCGTAACCTTCACGTGGCCCTTTCCCTAAGCCAAGATGTCCACGTGATGGTGAGAAAACTCAACTTTGTTTGGAGCTGCGGAATTCAAGGTAAAGGCACGCAACAACTGGTACCTGTGCGGGTCAAGATGGCGAAGTGCAGCTCGGGAAGGTTCGGGGTCGGGCTTAGGTGGCCACTGCCTGGCCCCGTGGCTCCGAGCCAGATGTGGTAGCAAGTCGAGATCCCAGAGAGGGAAGCCACGATACCTCGGGCAAGAGTCCCGGCCAGAGTCACAAAGTTGGATCATGGGAAATCTCGCTCCCCAAATCGAAAAGCTGTGGAAGAAAGTTTCGGCTGAGTCGCTGCAAGCGCTGCTCGCCTGGCGGAGGTGGTACCACGGACCAGACGCCGCCGACGGTGAGACCTGAGGGACCGTCTCTGTGACGTGAATAGGAACAACATGCAGTCTTCGATGCAGCGTCTGATAGTCACGAGTCATGAGCATGTAACCTTGGCGCGTGCCAGCCAATGTGTATGTAGCCGTGCCGAAACAGTCAGCAAGGCACAATGCACAGTGCATTACATCTACATCTGTCTCTGATGTGTGGGAAACGCGCCATAATGCGAATGCCGATGCAGTCAGATCTACCTGCGATTTTTTTGCGCGAAAAGGCCTACGTATACATATGTGTGTATAAGTAGTTGTATATATATATATACATATATTTATATGTATGTCTGTACACGTGCGTGCGTATACACATGTGTGTGTGGGTATGTATGTATGTATGTATGGATGTATGTATAAATTTGTGTATGTGATTATTCATGCGTGTGCGCATTATGTGCAGATGCGTATCTGCATGCGTATGTGTATGTATATGCAGGATGGATGGATGTATGCAACAGCGGTTAACGGCTATGACCCGTCCGCTGCGTTTTTGATTCTTCGCGAAAACAAGACCAATGCACACTGTCATAGAAGCTAACATGAACGAAAGCAATACCGTTGACAAACATCCCAAAAGAAATAATTGCTCGGTGCACTAGCAACCTACGTCGATCCCACCGACCACCCCTGCACCTCCTAGCACAAAGAGTGGGCGGACTGAAAAGCTTCGTTTTATCAGTGGCGGCAGATCCCTGTAGCCCGGAGATGCCTAGCTTCGAGCTAGCAAAACTCCAGGGAGGGTTGGGTGGGTACTCTGAAAAACTTCTACCCCCCAAAGGGGTTCTAGCCGTAACGGCGACGGATAGAACACATTTAGCGAAAACACCTTCGATGTTTTAGCTGTCGACACCTTCGATGTCGAAGGAGGAACTTCGGGTTGCTAGCACACACAGTTGTCCCTCGTCCCTCGTTACAAGAAGCGTGCACTAGCAACCTACGTCGATCGGGTCCCTGTAGCCCGGAGATGCCTAGCTTCGAGCTAGCAAAACTCCTAGCAACCCTCTACCAGGGTTCTAGCTTCTTGGGCTTCTTTCTGAAACGCATCGGTTTCACCGACCTAGCTGCTTTCCTCTTCTTGACTTCTCCGAAAAAGCTTGCAGAGTGTTCTAGCAGCTTGCCCAAGACGCGCCACCTAAGTTCGCTGCCAACTAGCGGGACCCGGAACTCTGGGGAAAAGTGATCAAACTTCTCGTTCGTCAGGTCGTCTGCTAGCTGGTTCAGGTCACGGCGGACCCACTGTAGCTGGAGTTCGCAGTTTCTAGCTTCCAGCTCTTCCGCTAGCTCCATAAGGACTAGCCCCGAGGGAAACTTTGTGGTCATAAGCTTCTTTAGCAGTGCTTCGTTGGACTGGTTGTCCGTATAGCCTCTTAGAGCCACACGGGACAAAGTCCTAGCCCTGCCCTCTGGGATCCAGAGCCGAACTGCCACAAGGGTTGCCAGTAGCTCTAGAGCCGCAATGACCTTGTTGGGGTCACCTTTAGCGAAAGCCCAAGGTGCCCAAACAGCCTCCACTTCTAGCGAGAACCAAGGGCCCTGGCAGCCGGGAACTAGCTCCAAGAAACCCCCGATCCAGGCCCGGCCCGCCTCGGCCTTAGCGTCGGTGAAGAAGCTGAGCGGCGCCTCCGTCACTTCTAACGGGGTCGGCTGCTGTAGCCGGTCACCCTTCTCCAGGCGGTCTGCGATCCAACTACAGAGCACTCTTATCATGGTGGGCAACTTTAGCGGACCTTGGCAACCTTGCACCGCCGAGGACCAGGCATATAGCGGTCCGAGAAAAGGCTTCTCCCAATCTAGGGACATCGCCGCAAATCCCAGCCTGCCTAGGCCCTGCGCCATTTCTTTGGCCGTGATGTAGCCAGCTGTAACGGTGTTCCGTAGCCAGGAGACAAGCCAGCCTGCTCTTTTTGCCGAAAGCCCCAGGCGGTGGCTAGCGTACTCGGTCTCCATGCCTAGCCACTCCACCCGGAAGCCCCTCTCGACTTGGCCCACTTGAAGGGGAAGCCCAGACTAGCGAAGTAAAGGTAGCTGAGCGGGATCCCCTGTCTCCCCTTTGGGCCACAGCCTAGCGACTCCAGGTCGTCCGCATATAGCAACATGTCTATCGGATACTCTGGTCCCACTAGGTGGTGGACTAGTCTCAGACCGCAGGCGGCGATCCTCGACCACCAATAGCTCGCGCAGGAGAGGCCAAAGGTGCCTACCAGATTGACGTAGACCGTCTGTGTAGCGGGGTCCCCCGGGACCTCTTCCTCTAGGCTTATCTGGCATGCCACATAGCCGTGCTCCTTGCTCTGGTGCTTGTAGCGGCGGTGGGCTTTAGCGATGTCGCCAACAACCGAAAAGGCCACCTTCTTCTCCGCTAGCATCTCCCGGAGCAACTGCTTCTTCTCCCGGGCTCCTGGAGCACGTAGCTTATCACGACATTTAATGCGGCGATTGACTCTCACACCGTGAGTAGCATCATGGATGATGCGCTTCTTGTTAGCCGCCTCGTCCTCAACGATGACGGCTAGAGCAGCTATAGCTCGGTGGTCGCCGTACTTCTCGACAAACTCACCTAGAGTCATCTTTAGCATGAGGCCCTCGGCTACGTCCTCGTCGAACTTCTCCTTAGCAAAGGACCTGTGTTCGTCGACCGAGGTGTAGTTAGGGACCCACGCTAGCGAAGCCTCCCAGGGAGCATTCTCCAACGGCCACTTTAGCTGCTCCTCGTAGACGTGAGGCGTGCGAGGTAGCGGGTCGAGGATCCCCACAGGAAGTCCTGTCTCCGCCGCCAGGAGGAACTCTCTATCCGGGTCCCCTGCAGCCTCTAGCAGTGCTCGCATGAGCCGAAGATAGAGAGGCTGGCCCTCCGCCACTTCTAGCAGCTTCGGGTCTGTAAGGTCTTGGGCCTCTAGCCAAGCTTTCCAGACTTCCCGGAGCTCCGTCTGTAGCTGGGGGTCCGACGCCAAAGAGCAAGCTGAAGCGCCTCCCGAGGCCATGCGGAAGGCCTCCTTCTCTAGCTCCTTCTCGGAGCCCAGCTTTCCAAGGACCACCTCCTTCATCCTGCTCCGTAGCCAGTCCCAGTTCTTGCCGCTAGCGAGGTTTCGACGCTCCGGTGGCCAACGGCCAGGGGAACAGAGTCCACCGCCGTCGTGGAAGTCCACCCACCTGCCAGCAGCGACGAGGTGGTCCATGACCTCCTTGTAGCCTCGGGCCCTCCGGTTGGCAAACAGGATACGCCGTCGGAGTAGCTTGCGGGTGCTCCGTAGCGGGGGCCCCCAAAGTCTCGCCGCAAGCAGTCGAAGCTGAGGCCACCGTGTGGAGCACCAAGGCTGCTAGCCAGCTGCACATTTGTGGTGGCCAAGCCGCCGTACCTGTGGTAGCGAAAGCAGTAGAGGTCCTGCGCGCCAAGAGACCCGGTTCGCGGCTAGCAGCAGGCAAGGGACCAGTGTAGTAGCCTTCGGAGTCAAAGGCGGGCAGCGCTTCGTAGCAGCAGTCAGGCAGATGCAGAGGCGTCTTTAGCAACAGTCGAGTAGGCTTGCTGTAGCTTGTACCAAAAGAGCGTTGCTGAAATGCTGCTGTGCGGAAGCCTGCCGAAAGTAGCGCAGGAACCTGGGGCCATTGCCACATGGACGCGGGTCTCTGGCCCTTGTACGGTCCAGAGCCTAGCGCACCTAAGTCCTCTGGCTGCTCTAGCACGAAGGCTGAGGCAGCCCCCCGGGCTACTAGCTGAGCGACCTCAAAAGAAAAATCAGCAAAAATGTTGCCCAATATAGCTCGGTCCCTTTGGGCTGCAGTGAGCTGCGCGTTGCCCCTGGGACAGGCGTAGCTTCTGACCGGCACCGGTCCACGGAAGTTCGCCCAGGCTGCTCTGGAGAAAGTAGCGCAAGGTGGCGAGAGCAAAATTGCATCGAACTCTCTAGCTGCGACCCGTTGCAAGTAGGCACTGCGGACCTTCTCTAGCGAGAGATCATATCGCTTATCGCGCAGGATGTCTACACACTCGACAGAGACGTCCAGACCCATAGCGGTAGCAGTGTGGTGAAGACACGTAGCCATATCCCATGGGCGAACCTCGCCCGCGAACAGGTAGAGGATCTTGTAGCTCCGCGGCGGGCTTCAGTTGGAGGGTTTGCCTCCGTCGCCTTTGGCGCCTCCCGAGTTGGGGGTAGCGACAGGACGGCCGCCGGCTTTGCACTGGTAGGCCGGATGCTTAGCGAAACATAGCTGACACACATGCTTGAAGCGGCAGGCTTTCTTGTGCGGGCAGCCTTGCTTGCTATTGTAGCGAAAGCAAATTGCCTCGCCTTCCGGCGTTGTGGTAGCCCCATTAGCCACGCCTTTGCCCTTGCCCTCGCCCTTAGCGCCCTTAGTGCCCTTGCCTTTGCGTGGCTGTCGGATCCATGGGCTATCGGGCGGGGGGGCCGGGCGTTTAGCGTGAAGGGCCAGCGGCGTCGTGAAGTGCCGCTCCTTGAGGGCTGCATCCTTGTAGCTTTGCTTTAAGGCCTCTGCGAAGGAGAGGGACTGCTGGGCCATGAGCTTGTAGCTGTGTTTGCGGATCGCATGCTCGTAGCTGAGGACCAGATGCCACGGCGGGACCAGAGCACCGGAATCTTCACTAGATCGTAGCCCATAGCAAAAATCTCCCAGCAAGTATTCTTTATATTTTTCGAAGACAGCTTGCGTCACGTCCTTTAGCTCCGAGCGGGACGGGTGCTTTAGGCGGATCATGATCAAGGCATTGGCTAGCACTGTGAGGCGTAGCCGTAGCTGCTCTGGTCCAGAGGGCATCGTTGCGCGAGACCCGCCTTTCCTTAGCGAGAAGGTGCCTTTAGCATCCCAGGCGGGCAGCAGGACTTCGGGGTCGACTTCGTCGCGGCTAAGCACTTCTGTTAGCGGCTCGGCTCGAAATTCCCCGGTCTCTAGCTCGTGCAGCTTTTTCTCGATATATTCTTTAGCAGGAACATGGCGGTCTTCGACTTCCAAAGCTT